ATAAAAATATATTTATCAAATAAATTGACAGGTATCAAATTATTTAATTTGTATAAGAAATAAGAAACAAATATATAATTACTCTTTGAAAAGTATATCATCTTATCCTAGAAACAAAGCTAATTTAACGCATATATTTCTGGTAATTTTTCTTGTGGATAATGTAATTAAATCTAAAATAGTAAAATAATGGCATTGTTGTAATTTTGCGTTGATAAGTTATAAACAATTTTCTTATTGATGAAATTAATGAGAAAAAAATGAAGTTTATGACTTTGAAATTTCAAAACAATGATTTCTTTTTCTTTTGTAATTTTCTAGTTACCGTAATATTATAGTCACAAAATTTTGGCAGTTTTAACTCGTATCCAATGACTGTTACTTTATTGTCACATTGTTTCTCTGAAAAAAAAAAAAAAAAAAAAAAAAAAAAAAAAAAAAAAAAAAAAAAACTATTTTTGGTCACTAATTTTTTCCATGTATTGACCACTATTATGTGGTCACCATGTGTATTGTTTGAAAATATAAATACAACCTATGACTTCTTTTTTTCTAACGTGTTTTTGTTTTCAACTTTTTCCAAATATTACTATTATAGTAAATATGTCGGTCAATGTAACGAGTTTTTGCAAGGTTATGTGTAAAAAGAAAACAAAGCTTTTGCATTTTCAAAATTAAAAAATATTTTAACTTTTATTAATTAAAAATTATATATATATATATATATATATATATATATATATATATATATATATATATATATATATAGACCACTGATTTATGATCACTATTGTTTTTTAATTGTAATTCATTAGTGACCACTATTGAGTGGTCACTAATTGTTTTTCTCCATTTAAGTAGTTTTCAATAACAAAAGAGAAAGTATGCAGATTTTGAATAAACATAATTAGTGACCATTATTTTTTATCACTAAACCTTCAATAGATCACTTTTTTGTTACTAAGCTTCTAACATAGTGACCATTATTCTTAGTCACTATATTGTTAACATAGTAACCATTATTTTTTAGTCATTAAATAGTTATGATATGAAACAAAAGTAGTTTAATTTTTTCGCGGTTTAGTGACCGAGTTAGTGACCACCATATAGAATTAGTCATTAAATTTATAGGGTTACCAAAATTCAGTGACCACTTAATTTCCGGTGACTAAAAGAAGCTTTCAGTGACAAAATTTTAGGTCGTCACTAAAAAATAGTCACTAATAAGGACTTTTCTTGTAGTGGTGTATATATACATAAAAATATAAGGAGAGCTAAATAAGGAATCAATCTTCTATTTACAGACAAGATAAATACAATAAAGTTGTTTCATCCCAAAAATCATAGAAATTTAATTTTTTCAAAAACTCATTAACAATAAAGTGTTTACAAAACCATTGTTTCTAAGTATAATCATAATCATAGTATCCCAAGATCCAATATCATCAAAATAAGAAGATGTACACGATCATGCATTCGCCTTGCCACGATCATCTGAAGTACCCGATAACAATAAACTAAAACTGTAAGTCAAAACTTAGTGAGTTCCCCCAAAGTACCACCACACAACAGAACAATCAACAGCATGCAAATATGAGCCTTCAACCGAACTGGATCGCCTCGCAGGGCCTACAGCCTATCTGGACTGCCTCGCAGGGCCTACAACCTATCCGGACCGCCGTGCGTATCTTGGCATTCGGTACAAAGCAGGACTGCCTCAACTTCTCCACATTATGTCGACATATACAACAAATACACATAAACACATATCTAGCAAATATATGTAATCATACATATATACTAATATGTCATATAACTAGCATAACATCATCCTATATACCATGATATATAACCTAGTAGGCCAACATTGGTACCTTCGACCCACAAGTATAGTGAGGAAAACTCACCTCTTAGTCTGAAAATATCTATAAACAGGACACAGCTCTGAATGTCAACTCAACCGGTTACATATTCATCAAATAATGACCAATCTCAATTACCACTCAAAATACCCAAATTACCCTTTAAGCCAGAGTGAGAGGACGATCCATACTTTCGAAGATATGTTGCGCGCTTGTGTATTGGATTTTGGCGGTAGTTGAGATATGTATCTTCCGTTGGTGGAACTTTCGTATAACAACAGTTATCACGCCAGTGTAGATTGGCCTCCCTTTGAGATGCTCTACGAGAGGAAGTGTACGACCCCAATATTTTGGGGCGAGGTCAGTTAGAGAGTCATGAGGAGTACTGAGGTACTTCTCAAGAAAACTGAGAGGATTCAACAGGCTCCAGACTGCTCAGAGTCAGCAGAAAAGCTCTGCCGACAAGTACTATTCAGACTTGGAGTTTTAGGTGGGCGACATGGCCCCATGTACATCGGTCCGTTCAGGGTTTTGGATCGGGTGGGCTAGGTTGCTTAT